TCAACAAAGAAAAGAAAAACCAATTGACAGAGATACAGAAGATAATCCTGGAGCCCTGAGCTTTGAAAGGAAGCATACAGAAGTGAGCCAGCTAATGGAAAAACCTGAGCAAAAATAGTGAGTACAGAGATGGTCAGAGCTGCGGACTGTCAGTGACCCTGACAGGACCAACAGCCTGAATATTTCCAAGTGGTGTTGGGACTTGAGAATTGACCTAAAGATCAGCACTGGTCACCAGAGCTGCAGGGATGACTGCATTGGTGGCCTATGACTAGGAAGGGAAAGACAAGGAGGGAGACAACCTGAGATGTTGACTTTCCGCCATCTGGAGGGTGCAGCTATTTTGATTGTTTACACATGGTGGCCATTTTGGATATTTAAAGTGACTGAAGGTGCAGCCATTTTGAATGTTTACCAGCGGTGGCCATTTTGGATATTTAAAGTGACTGAGGGTGCAGCCATTTTGAATCTTAACAAGTGGCAACCATTTGGATTTTAAAGTGATAGCATTCTCATTCGGATTCCAGGGACCCAGGAACAGGCTCTGTTTGCCAAGGTCAGAAGGGACAGACATACCAGAGGCTGACAACAAGAGAGGAGACAGGTGGTGAGTGTATAAGTGCTGTCAACTAGTGAATAGAGGAGCACAGCACAGTACCTTGTGTAGATAACATACAAACAAAACAAACAAAATGAAAATCATGGGCAAGTCACTCCAACATACAATCACCAATTAAATATAACCAGAAAAACATCACAATGCCTCGGAGACAGCAGGACATCACAGTCCACACAAAGAAGCAAGATAAAGCAGGAGAAATAAGGGACCAGGACACAGATCCAAACACATCCCTGAGGAAGATGCAGCTTTGGAACTCCCTGATAAGGAATTCAAAAGAATTATATTTTCTTCAACAGATTAAGAGACAAATCTAGGAAAATACAGAGAAAACCCTAGAAAAATTTTGAAAGACAATACAAGAACAAAATGACAAAATAAATGAAAAATTAGAAATGTACAAAATCTACACACAGAAATCCAGAAGATTAATACTGAATTTTCAGAAATAGATAAGACATTGAATGGGCAAAGAAGTGGAATTGAATCAATGGAAGATAGATATACTGAGACTGAAGGCAAATACAATTGAGATTGACAGCATCAATCAGAAAAAAGATCAAAACAAAGTGAAGAAAGCTTAAGGTTCATGTGGGATGCCATCAAAAGGAATAACCTTCATGTAATCAGAATTCCAGAACAGGAAGAAACAAATAAAGCCATAGAGAAAACTGTCGAAGATTTGTTGGGAGAGTATTTTCCTGGTGTGATGAAAGATGAGAATATATCCATTCAGGAAGTCCAACGAACCCCAAACAGGATAGACCCCCCAAAAAATCACCCAGACATATCATCATCAAACTCACCAAAACCAAAGACAAGAAAGAATCATGAGAGCAGCACAGGAAAAACCAAAAGTTACCTACAAGGGGCAACCAATAAGACTAACTTGGATTTCTTGGCAGAAACCATGCAGGCAAAAAGACAAAGGAGTGGTATATATAACACCCTGAAAGAGAAAATTTCCAACCAAGAATTATGTACCCAGCAAAATTGTCCCTCCAATATGATAGTGAAATTAGGACATTTCCAGATAAACAGAAATTAAGTAAATTTGTTAAAACCAGACCAACCTTACAAGAGATTCTAAAGGGGCCCTTTGGACAGAGAAGCAACAACAGCCAACAACAACTGACCATTAACACACATGATGATGTAACCCAGAAACCAATCCAGTTATGGACGTATCTAAAGTACGTATCTAAAGTTGGCCTCCAAGCCAACAAGATTGTAAACAGGGAACCAAAGACACCAACCAACAAATGAGGACAACTACAAACCAAAAAGGGAAAAAACTGTGTCATTACAGAACTTCTAGTTGATAGGGAAGTCAAGACAACTACAAGGTAGAATGGACTGTTCTAAACTTGGGAAGAAAACTATAAATCACAGGATAATCTCAAAGAAAAATGATAAACCTTCACATCAAAATAAAAAAGAGAACCAGTACAAATATTTAGCAAATACTAAAACAATAGCAATGAAGGAAGTGATAACATAATTTATAAACAAAACTAGCTCAGCACAGAAAATTGTATGGAACAAAGAAATCGATGCCACGAAGAAGCACATAACAAAAATGACAGCAACAAATTCATATTTGCTGATAATTACATACCTGCCAAAGAACTTATCTCTAAGATTTGTAGAAATGTCCAAGGCCTCAACAGCAAAGGAATTAACGATCCAATTGAAAAATGGGCAGAAGACATGAATAGACACTTCACCAAGGAAGATATTCAGGTGGCCAGCTAATACATGAAGAAATGCTCACAATCATTGGCCATCAGAGAGATGTAAATCAAAACAACAATGAGATACCGTCTCACCCCAGCACTGATGGCAAGGTTCAATGAGACAGAAAATAACAAATGCTGGTGGGGATGTGGAGAGATTGGGACACTCATACACTGCTGGTGGGACTATGAAGTGATACAACCACTGTGGAAAGCAATATGGTGATTCCTTAGAAAGCTGGAATTGGAGATACCATTTGACCCAGAAATCCCATTACTAAGTATATATCCTAGAGAGGTGAGAGCCAGGACAGGAACAGATATATGTACACTCATGTTCATCACAGCACTATTTACAATAGCAAAAAGATGGAAACAACCCACGTGCCCATCAGCAGAAGAGTGGATGACCAAACTTTGGTACATACACATACTGGAATGCTATGCAGCACTAAAGAATAATGTAGAGTCTGCAAAACACCACATAATATGGATGAACTTGGAGAACATTATGCTGAGTGAAATAAGTCAATCACAGAAGGACAAATGTAGTATTAGTTCATTGTTGTGGAGGGTCAAGGAAAGGTTTATATATGGAGGGAAACTTTCTTTGCTGGTTGCCAGGGGTAGGAGGGGAGGGGAGGAGACACTACAAAAAAAAAAAAATATAAAAGCACTGAAAAAAAAAGAAAGAAAAAAATCAGTCTTTGTAAACCCTACGGAGGACAGTTCTACTCTGACATACACGGAGTCATCATGATTTGGAATCAGCTAAATAACTGATTATTTACTGGTTACACTGAAAGCCATCAAATTTTCACTCCCTCTCCCTCTTAGACTACCCACTTCCTTTTACCCATCCCTCCTTCCATTGAGCTCTCTTCTGCTGTCAGCCCAAGCCCATTAGAACAAACTTGAGATAACTTCTGTCAAATTATTCTGCCTCACCAGAACCCCCAGTGATGCTTCTTTTACTTGTATTTATTTGGCTTTTATAGTCAGGCTATACCACTATGCCATGGAGTCACCTATTACT